GTCATCTGAGCTAGGCCTTGAAGGAAGAACATTGTAATACATAGAGATAGAAGAGTAGAAGCAAAGTCCAATCCAGGTACCAGGGAATGGCCTGTTCAAATGCATAAACAGAACAGGACAAGATCAGGTCAGAGAATATTGAGTAGTCCAGCTGGGGTGGAGTATAGAACACGCAAAGGGGAAACAGTATAGAATAAGATCTGGAAAGGTCTTTGGGAAACTAGAATCACATACTGGCATATTAAAAATATCAATCATGTTAAAAGTTGACACCACATGTTTTTCCTAGTCTTTGAAAAATCTTGATATGGTTGGATCTTTTAAATATACCTGGCCATCAATTAATTTAAACTCCAGCCCTTGGTGCTGAAAAAATGTCAGGAAATGTCAGAAAGATTTGGATTTCAGAAATCCTTCAGCTACAACCTCCAGCAAGAGATTTTGTGGCAAAGGTTGGCTTTGCATAAATGAAAAGCTGAATGGAATGCCAAAAGACCTGAGGCATCTTCACAGCTTCATCATTTCAGTTCTGTTCCTTGGGTTGAGCAGGTTTCTATCTGTGTCACTTGGTGCGTCACACATCAACTCCCTTCCTTTCCACTGATACACAGCAGCCTTTAGTGAGCACCTTCCCACACAAGAAAATACACAGTAGAAGCAGAAAAAAAAGGCAACTGTTCCTGAAGTTACAACTGCAATGGCAGTTTCCAAACAGAAAAAAAGAGTATATTCCCACCCAAACAGCTCCCATTTGCTCAGGGAATGAAGGTAAATTCAGAATTCCCTCAGCCCTTGAGTATATGAATACTTAATTCACTAAGGTTCAATGTGTGTTAATATGAGAAAGACTTCATCGTGGAAGGTTTATGGAAGGCTATGAACCAAAACTACACAGAATGGGAAGGTGTGAAGGGTGAGGATCTATACCAGTGCCATCCCAGGGTCAGGATACTACACCAGTGCTATCCCAGATCCCTATAAGACCTAATAGTAATAATAGCTAGCATTTCTATAGCACTTAAAGCTTTGCAGAGGGTTTTATAAATATTATCTCATCTTGTCCTCACAACAACTCTGGGAGGTAGGTGAGGTAAATGCTATTATTATCTCTATTTTATAGATGAGAGAACTGAGTGAAAGAGGTTAAGTGACTTGCCTAGGGTCACACAGCTAGTAAGGAAGTGCCTGAGGCTGGATTTAAATTCAAATCTTCCTCACTCCAGGGTCAGAGCTCTGTCCATTGTACCATCTAGTTCCGTCAAGGTAGGAAGGAAAGTCCTTTCCTTACATAAAGGAGAGAATGAGAAGGAAGGCAAATTCCTCAGTGAGTAGAAGGCCACAGAATGTCATTTTCTGTGCTTTAACAACTCCCAAATTTTAAAAAACTACTAGACATTTGTTTTTGCATGCTGTCTTCTCCATTAAATTGTGAGCTCCTTAAGGGCAGATATTGTCTTTTGTCTCTTTTTATATTTCCAGTGCTTAGCCCAGTGTCTGGCACATAGTAAGTCCTTAATAAACATTTACCAATTGATCTACATGATAAATGAATGTTTATATTAATGCATTCTGAACTGCTACCCAATCTCACTTCTAGTTACCTTTTTAAGCCTTGACTGAGCCTTCTCAGGTCTGTAGAACTGTTCTTTTCTACTATGCTTAAGCCCTCTTGACTTTTCTATTAATATTCTGATCATTCACATTTTAAGATAAAATATGGTTCATATCTTCTTTTTCCCCAATGTGATTCTTCAGTGCATGAGTGGGGAATTAAAGCTACTCTAGCCCTTTAAAACTACTATAAAATACAGGTACTGTACAATTCCAGGTAAATCCGTGTACCAGAGAATCTACCACAATGCAAATTTTCTGGATAATAACTGATTGTCTTTATTATTATTATTGGTTTTGGTGGTGTTGGTGGTAACAGCATTTATTTCATACTCTAAAATTACAAAATGCTTTAAGATTTCACTCTTTAATTAGTAATAGTTCACATGAATACAATGCTGTAAGGTTTATAAAGTGTTACACCCTGTGAGGTAGGTAGTGTAAATATTATTAGCCTCATTTTGCACATGAAACTCAGAGAGGTTAAGTGACTTACCCAAAAGCACACGGCTAATAACTCAGAGCTGATACTCAAATCCAGCTCTTCTGGCTCCCAGTCCAGTGATATTTGCTCTACATCCTGTGACCTTTAATTAATATTTATTCAAAAGTATTATGTCAACCATAGTACCCAGCATGCTGCACACAAATAAAATCCTTATAAATTATTAAACACACACACACACACACACACAAATTAACTGATGCAGAATGCTGAAACCAATAAAGCAAAACAAGCTGAAGGGATTTCTAGCTTGAGGGTGGTAGGGAAGGGGAGAGAGAGAGCATCATTATACACTAAGGAAAATGGAAAATATAAGTTTTCCAATTGTTAAAAGAATGAGGACTAAGGAAGTGAAAATAACAGACAGAGAACTGTTTCTCATTGTCCTAAAACAAATGAAGAGACCAGGTCAGGGATGTACCAGAGATGGTTCAGCATCATAGAACAGATGGGATTTAAAGAATAGAAAAGGGTGGGGTAAACAGCATTTTCTTGCAAATGTTGAAGGAATTAATTAGGAATGTAAAGAATTTCCAGGAGGAAGGTACAGAAAAGGAAGTGGGTTTAAAAAATTGAGTGAGCAATTTGGAGAGAAGTTGAAAGAATGTTTGGCTCGCAAATTCAACAGACCAAAAGGGAATATAGAACATATCTTCACAAAGAGATGTTTACATTCATGCCAAGGAGTGGGTGAATACAGTCATAAATAAGCAGACAACCTCTTTCTTAACTCATCAGAATAAGTTCTGGTATTTCAGAAAGAACCTGGTTCGTTCTCTCTCTGTCTCTGTCTCTCTCTCTGTGTCTCTGTCTCTCTCTGTCACTCTGTCTCTGTCTGTGTGTGTGCGTGTGTGTCCCTCCCTCCCCTCTCTCTCTCACACACACATACACACACACACACAAACATACATCCTACATGTGCATGCACTGACCCAAATCCAAATGAAGAGTTATCATTTAGTCCTACAGAAGGAGTGCCTTTGTGTTACTCTACTGTTTATACACATAAAAAAAAGGAAACTTTCTTTTGAGAGTGGAGAAGAGGAAAATTTGAAGGGCAGACTTTTGGAAGGTAGACTGGGGAAATAAGTTTGAAAGGATGATATTTGGGACTAGCTAGATTTTAAAAAAAAATCACTGTTGTACTTTGTTCCTTCATAAGAAGAAAGGTGAGGCAGGAAATTAGTGGGTGCCATTTTATTAGCTTACTATTGAATTATTTATTATTCACAAACCAGCAAATCATCTAACTCCCCTTTCAAGGACAAATTCCAAACTTTCGTAGTCAGAGTGAGATAATTCCAGGAAAGGCTTTTCTTCTCTTCCCTTGTTTAATGCAACAGCTATTGGAAGGCTTTAGGACAGTGTGGAACCTTGGCATCAACCCAGGAAGGCCCAACTCTCTGCACAGGGGCATAAAGGATGCTGAATAGATCACACACCTTTAGTTTAAAATGGCTCTTCCTGGGCAGAAAGTTCAGCCTCATTTCAGACTCTATGCCATACATCCATGTTCTCCAATCCTCATACACACTCCTCAGAATGTCTGACTGGGAAAAGTTTGATTCAATTCAATTCAGCAAACGTGTATTAAGCACCCAGACCTGGTAGGCACTGGCCACTGGGTTCAGTGCTGGCTGCCCCAGCCCGAGATCTTCCAAGGGTATTCGTAGCTAACAGGGTTTTAATGTAGTGTAGAAGGAAACCCAGGCCGCTGTGTCAGAACTGCAGTTAGCAGCAGATTACTTAGGGCCTTAGAGGGTACTAGAAAGGGATGTGGTCCCTCGGCCATCTCACTCCCCCTCAAATCTCCAGCTCTGAAGATGCTATTGGGTATGCTCCCAGGGGACCTCGCCTAGTTCAGCTCCCACGCCTGTTTGGTGTGATGCTATCCGCCTGCACTAATGCCCTGCTTTTAAAAACAACTTTGCCAGCCCAGTAGTTGCTCACTCAGATCTAAAATGTACAAACTCCAAGAGGTTTACAAACCAAGCATTCGCACAGAGCGGGCCCAGACAAGGGAGCTCCTAGGGAGAAGGAAAAATAATGCACTTTCAGGGAGGATTTCACGGAGACCCAGGCTACTTCAGCTCTTCTCAGTGGCGGGAGAGTTGAAGTAACTGACCCAGAGGAGACAGAGGAGATAGATGCAGGTTCAGAGTTGACTCCTCAGCCTGGACCCTAGAGCGGGGTCGTGCGCCTTGCGGCCGCCTTTTCTACCGTGAGAAGCCAGCCTGTGCCGGGAATTTAGGGCATCAAGCTTTGGGAGGAGCACGGAGGAACTGTTGAGAAACCCAGCTTCCTCTCAGGAGATGAGGCTGAGACCCTAAAAAGTTCCTTCTTGGGCAAGACACAGCGCTCACAGAGGGGATCTGTCCAGAGTGCTGAAGAGGGGTCTGCTGCAACCGCGGGGCAGGCAGGCTGGCGGGCTGACGAGCGGGAGGACACCGCCTCCCGTGGACCTCCCTCCTAAGGAAGACCGCCTCCAGCCAGCCCTCCCGCCCTGGAACGAGCCTCCCAGCCCGGGAGAGAGAGGCAGCAGCACACCTCACCGGTGGCTGGGCCGTTCAGCCCCCATCACCTGGCTCTTTTCCCCCTTCGGGCCTCCTGATCATTCACCTTTCCTTCTCTCCCGTTCTCCCCACCACCACTACCAGCCAGTCACATATCTTTCTCCCGCCCTCCTTGGTCAGTAAAGGTTTTCTCCGCCTCCGAGCCCTCCAGCCTCGGTCTGCATCCACTCTCCAGATCTCATCCTCTCCCGGGGTCCAGCCCCGCCGAGGTCCTTCCTCGGATTCCCCGACCCTCCCCTTACCCCAAACGGTCGGTTCCCCCAGTCTCCCAGCGTAGCCTGGCTTTCGCACGCCCGCCCCTGGCTTTTTACCTTTTTCTTTCGGTCACGAGAGCGGTTCCTCCGTTTCCTGTTGGATTCCTCCTTTTCCTTCTGCTCCTGAAGGGCCTGAGCCTCGATGTCTTTAATTTTCTTCAGCTGTTTGGCTGCTTGAGCCATGGCGGGTTACGGAGCTGCAGTCCCCGCCTCCCCTGGAGCCCCAGTTCACACTTCGCTGCTCAGAGCACCAACACCCTCCCCACCAGCACCACCAAAAAAAAGTCCCTACCCTTCCACCCTTTCTCCTCCCTCTCTCTCTCTCTCTCTCTCTCTCTCTCTCTCTCTCTCTCTCTCTCTCTCTCTCTCTCTCTCTCTCTCTCTCTCTCTCTCTCTCTCCCTCTCCCTCTCCCCCCGCTTCACCCGGGCTGGGAGCTTCACTACCACGAAGACAATCCGGGCGGGCTCAGGCACAGCCTGGGTCCTTAGCCCAAGCAAGTGGCGAGGAACCCTTTACGCGGTGGCGTTGAGACGCCCCCGATCCAGCGTCCCCAGAGGCTCCCTGAGCCCGGTCCAGCCCCGAAGCGTGAGAGCCGCGGTGTCCTCCTTCTGGGACGGGGATGGAGGCTCGGGCCGCCTCTCCTGCAGCAGGAACCGCGGCGGCAGGGGGTGGGGGAGACGGCTCGTAATGCAGAGAGAGAGAAAGAGCTGTCCGCGGGAGGGGGCGGGGGGAATCGCTGCCGGCGCTGGATGCGGGAGGAGAACAGCGGCGAGGCATCGAGCAGGGGAGCCGGGCTGGGCCGGACCGGGCCGGGCGGAGGGATGAGGCTTCCCCTCCCTGGCTTGCTGTGGCGCCGAGCCGGGAGCTGGAAGCTCCAGGCAGCCAGTCAGTCCGTGGCTCTACCACCGCAATGCTGCTGAGGTGCGCACATTTTCCGAAAGGACTGCCGCTCTCGCTGCTGCCGTCGGGGTGGTTTTGAGGTGACAAAGCCGTCTCCTTCTCCCCCTAAGCCTCCCCCCCTCCCCGTCCCGCCACCTCGCCCTCCCCCCCTCCTTTATTTATTTTACGGAGAGCTAGGGAGTAGGTTCTCCCAACACCCTTTTGGAAAAGGCATCCCTGCTACCGCCAGAGGCTGGGGCGAAGTCCTCTACAACGTAGCCCCAGCAGCAGCAGCAGCAGCATCTCAAGGCTCAGCCCCTCGGACGAGCAGAAGGGGGCGGGGGAGGGGATGGATGCTGGCTGAGGCTGAGAGGACTAAGCCAAGGATTCATTGTGCTTTCCGTCTACGCAGGCAGCATCGAGGGAGGGTGGGAAGGAGTAGTAAATTGCAATACCTCAGTCCCTTTCCTCCTCCTACTGGGTCACACTCAGCCGGGTACCATTTCCTCCCCTGGGCTGCAGTTCCAGAGATCCCATGAGAAGAGGTGGAAGATTCTTCCCCCTACTGTCACCCGCCGAGAACTTGATTTGCCCTTTTCAGACCATGTGGGGATTTCATTTGCATATTTACCAATTATAGATAAAAAACGTGCACAAAATCAAGGTGCCAGGAATGGAGTCAGAATGCCCCTTTCCTCCCAGCCCCTTGACATGCATACTCTTGGTGGCGGCCCCATTCCATTAACGATTACTGAGTCAGGCGGGTCTCTGCACCATTGCTCCCAGCAGACAGCACAAGCCTCACTAAAGTTTCCCATAGCACATGTCAAGCACTCTTTAGCTTAACTCTCATTGGCATTGCTCCAAGAAGAGTAGGAAGATATTAGAGAAAAAAAATCAAGGTTAAATACTTAGAGAAAGGTATGAAATAATAGATCTGAGATATATCGATTGTTCTTTATATCAATAAATCAATCAACAAGCATTTATTAAATGCCTATGCTCTAGGCACTATGCTAAGCAATAGGGGGACATGACCTATATCTATGTGTGTATATATGCATATATGTATATATGTATATATATATATATTACATATATATATATATATACACACACACACACACACACACACACACATACATAGAGGCTGAGTTGAGAAGGGAAGAAGAAAAAATATTTCAGCCTTAGTGTGGAAACATAACTGGCCACCACTATTAACTAAAATAGTCACCTTTAAAATTAGATGAAAGGATTGAAATAGCACCAAGTAGGGCCTGCCCTAGGCAAAGTTTATCCTTGGCCCCAACCAATCTTTGGTGTCAGCAGTCAGTATTTATCCTTGTATTTCATCTTGGTACTCTCTCCCTTCTCCCTCTCTCCCACTATCTTGTCTGCTGTTCCAGCAGGCTCACAACTTAGTTATCAATCCATAGTGTGAGTTGACATGGCTTCATACTTCCCAGGAGAAGATACTCTTTCAAGAATCAAATGAAGAAAGTTATAATGGAAGTAGACAGTAGGGTTGATCATTTTGGGGTCAGAGAACCTTCCTTTTTGCATTTTCAAATCACAACTGGTATTTAGTTGGTGACAATGGAAAGAACACTGAATTTGGATGCATATATACATACAACATACATACATACAACATACATGCATGGAGCATTTGTTAAGCTTTCAAAAAATGTTGTTAAAGATGGTCCCTGTTTTCCAGGAGCTTACATTCAAATAAGGGAAGACCAAATAAAGGAGGAGCTGAAAAGACTGCTTGTGGGAATGTAGAACAATTGGAAGAGTATGTTGAACTGAAAGTAAAGTGAGCAACATGGCTAGGCTACCCTCAAGAAATGGTGATTTGGCCCCAGGACTCACCAGTCCAAAGAGCAAGTCTTAGGTAGAAGTTAGAACAGCTGGTGGAGAGGTGGGGCAGTCTGGTGAATAAATTGAGCTTGGGGGTGACTTCTAACTTGGAGTCAGAAGAACTAGCAGATCTGGGCTCCAACACATACTAGCACTTTGACCCTGGGCAAGTCATGGAACCTCTCTGAGCCTCAGTTTTCTCGTTCATAAAATGCCTTTAGTACTGACCCCACCTTTGCCCTATGGGGTTGTTGTAAATAAAAACACCTTATAAATAAATTACACCAGTACTTCATGGAGCCATCAGTCTGGGTACTCTTTCCACCATTCTAGAACACAGCCTCTCTATGCCTAGGCAGTCAATATTTATGAATTTCTGGCACTGAAAATTATCACTTAATGGTAAGCCCTCTGGAAATCAGCATCTCTGCACTTAGCTAGACTGGTAGTCAGGTGACAGATGCATAGTTCATCACCAGGCCATGCTCAATGCCTTTCCAGCTTGAAAAGACCTGACAGCTTATCCTCCACTCGCACAGCCTTCAAGAATCAAGCCATGGAGACACAACACAGTAGGATTCTAGCAGAGGGTAAATGGTGTAGAAATGTTAGCACTGCACTATCTCCTTGCTAAACTAAAAGTTCTATAAGGGTAGAGACCATGTCTAATCTAGACCCTTTCTTTGTACATTTAATCCCATCTCCTCTCATCTCAACAATGAGCTTTTCCCATATATCATTTCCCCTCTCTTTTGATTTTTCATCTTTAACTTCTCCTAATCTATTCCTTCATGGATGTCTCCAAAAATATTCATGTTCTGTCTACACTCAAAAAACCTCCTCATACTATCCTCCTACATCTATTTCCCTTTCACCATCAAACTTCTAGAAAAAATAGTCAACCTACTCTTAGTAATTAGGCTAACTGCCTCCCCTTCCTCACCATCTACCCACTCACTTCTCAACTCCTCACAGTCAGATTTCCAATTACCAATTCTTTCCTGAAATGGTTGCTCCTGAAGGTCTCCTGTGGTCTCATCTGATGAATCCAATGACATTTTCCCCAATCCTTTTTCTTGACCCCTCTGCAGATTTTGACACTATTGATCATTCTTTCTTGCTGAATACTCTTTTCTCGTTTAGATTCCATTAAAAATGCTCTCCCCTGGTTCTCCTTCTGCCTGACCATTCAATCTCCTTTGTTAGATCATCACACATCCCATGTCTATTTCAGGGTATGTATACATATCCCAAGACTCCGACCTGTGCCATCTTCTCTTTTCCTATTCTCTTTCAATAATCTCATTCACTTTCTTGGGTTCAATTATCTCCATGAATATGGATCTTAAATCTACATATCCACACCTAATCTGTCTCCTTAATGTCCAGTCAACATACCATTGTTGACCATGTGCTGTCCACCTCCACCTCTCGATGCCCTGCTGACACCTCAAAATTCAATATATCCAAAATAGAACATATCATCTGTTTCCCTTAATTCCTCTCCTCTCTAGGCATTCTAACTTATATTGAGGATGCCACCATCTTCTCAATAATCCAATTTTAAAATCACAGAAACATACTCTATTTTTTCTCCAGTTGCCAAGTGTTGTTGATTCTATCTTCACAACATCTCTTGCATTTATCCCTTTGTCTCCACTCACACAGCCACCACCTGAGTTCACAGGGACTTTTAAAATAGCCTCCTAATTGGTCTTCTGGCTTCCAGTTTCTCCACTTTCCAATCCATTCTCCACACTGCTGCCAAAATAATTATCCTAAAGCATAGGTCTAATCGAATCTCTTCCTGCAATAGCCCATCTAGTGGCAAACTATTGCCTATACGATAAAATACAAACTCCTTAATCTGGCTTCTAAAGCCCTCTAGAATCCAATCCCAAAGTAACTTCCCAGCCTTGTTTCTTATTATTCCCTTCACCTATTCAGTGTCCCAACCAAACTGGCCTGTTAGCTGTTTCCCAAACCAGACATTCCATCTCCCAAGATAGTGCAGGAGCTAAAGCATTGGTCCTGAAGTAAGGAAAATTTGAATTCAAATCCTGTCTCAGGTTTTCACTAGCTATTTAACCCTGTGAAAGTCACTTAACTTTTGTATTCCTCAGTTTATTCATCTTTAAATAGAGATAATAATAGCACCTACATCACAGGGTTGTGAGGATCAAATGAGATAACATATATGAAGCATTTAGCAAACCTCAAAGCACTAAATAAATGTTAGCTATTATCATCATCATCAACATCACCACATGTGAAGAAGATGTCCCCATACTTAGAATGCTCTCCCTTTTCATCACTATCTTTCAGAATCCTCATCTTCTTTACAGAATCAACTCAGGTACAACTACCCACCTCCTCTATGAAGCTTGACTTGATCCCAATAATTACTAATGCTCTTTTTCTCCTCACATTTCTTTCTATT